AGAGTTGGAAAAGGAAGGAGAAAAGTCAAGTTTTCGGGGAAAAGGGCTGGGGCATCGCGCCAGCCAGCGCGCCCCAAAAGGGACTCTGAGGTCCAGCCCTTGGGGCGCCGCCCCTACCAGAGCCCCAACCAGACCTCTCTGAAGTTTGAGGTCTGGCGCTCCGCGCCTCTCAGAGCGCCGAGAGAGCCAAGTCTTCCCATTCTTTTAACACTTTCTCATGTATGTTCCTAGGTATTATACATATGTTTCATAGTTGTTTTCGACACTCCAAAGTACGTCTAAACATCAAGAATTCCTCCATAACATGTGATCAAACACCTTGAATTCATAATTCCAATTCAAGTGAAGTTAGTTTCCAATTCAAGCGAAGTTAGTTTCCAAGTCAAGTGAAGTTAGTTTCCAAGTCAAGTCGAGTTAGAAGTCAAGCTTAGAAGTTAAGTAAGTCCAAGCAAGTCTTCAAAGTTTTCAAGAGTCTTCATTGAACGTTTTAACTTCATTCTAAGGCTCAAGTTCCAAGTTAAGTATACAGTTTCAAGTCGAGTAAAGAGTATCGAGCTTCAAGTTAAGTCAAGAGTTTTCAGTTAAGTCAAGAGTTTCGAGTTAAGTCAAGAGTCAAAAGTTGAGTTCATTTCTCAAAAGTAATTAGGGAACTAAGTATTTCCCAAAGAAGTTTATAAGTGTTTTCACATTTAAGTTGAGAGGAAACTGAGATTTCCAAAAGAGTTTTGAGAAGTTTGAGTAATATCTCTTTTTAAGAAAAGATGAGTTTTGCGGAAGAGTTTCTAAAAAACATAATTAGTATGACAAATCCAGTATGTCATCAATGTTTAAACAGTATGGTCTCTAGATATACCATCAATGTTTAAGTAGTATGAATATCCCGAGTCATCAATGATCATATTAAAATATGGTTTTGAGATGTTCTTTTTAGAAAGAGTTTTCAAAAGCAATTACCTCTTTTAAGAGGGTAGTTTTGAGTAATTATCTCAACTAAAGAAATATGTGTTTAAAACACTTATGAGTTAAAGTTTTTTGGGAGTAGTCTTGAGCACCGAATTGGGGGAGCGTTCAAAGAACCCATAGCCCCTATAGAACCATGTAAGCCACCATGGGTGGAAAAGGATCATACTTTTTAGATGAATCCTTTTTCTAGATAGACTAGTGGATCCATTAGGCAGTTCAGGTCTTATACCTTTGGCCGGGTATAAGATGCTCTGGCAACGTGAGGTCGATCGTTGTATCATCACTGTAGCTCTTATGTGATGGTTAGCGGTTAGAGAACTCCCACAGTAGAAAGAGCTTGGTTCCTCGAGAAGTTCTGCTTAGTGTGGATGGGGGTATGGGACTTCATTCATGCATTGCATAAGTAGACTTTGAGAGGAAGCATGGTATTTTCATGATATTATAAATATGATTTTTACGTCATGTTTTAAATAGTTTTAAAAGCTTTATATATTGCATGTATCTTATTGCTTTATATTGAGTCCAGTTATTCATGAGTTGAACAGAGCCAAGGTAAGTTCTCTATTGTATTCCTTTCAAGCTTAAGTTGTTGTTTAGCGGTCCAGCTCGCATACTCGTACATTCCATGTACTGATGCTAGTTGGCCTGCATCTTTTGACGATGCAGACGTAGGTACCCATGATCAGCATCCAGCACGCCGTTGATCCAGTTGAGCACTCCAGAGTCAGTGGTGAGCCTCCTTGCTTTTCAGAGGACTCAATCATTTTGGTTTTCTTAGTTTTGTTTTATTAGGATGTTGCGGGGTCTGTCCCAACATCCATCTCAGTATTTTTAGAGTCTTCATAGACAGTCAGTCAATTAGTTTGAGTCTCTCTTTTGTGTATATATATGTAAATATTCTATTTTGAGACTCGAGCTGCCTTTGTGGCCAGATTTGTATCAGTTAAGTTGTCTTATGACTTTTAATTGCATGAAGGTATTCTGTTGAGTTAGGTTTCCGCTGAGTTAAGAAAGCCAGGCCAAGGGTTCGCTTGAGGCCAGCAATGGTCTCCGAGTGCCGGTCCCACCCAGGGTGTAGGCTCGGGGCGTGACAAAAACCCTCCCCCATCGATATTTACCCATTCTATTACGTTCGACGGATCGAAAAATGGATTCGGGGAGTGAAAAGCTTACCTTTAGCTTCAAGAATGGTGAAAACCGAGTAAGAGTCACCTGGGGATCGTTCCTTAGCTCAAAAAGTCAAAAAGTGCATAATGAGGTCGTTTAGGGGTTTATTAACGACTTTAATTCGCGTCGGGCCCGCCACAACGACCACCATCCAGCCAGAGCGGCAAAAGTCCCCGCCAAAGCGGCCAAAACGAAACAGAGAGCTAATTAAAAGAATTCCAAAATCCCATTTCACAACACACCTCTAACCCACGATAATCAGAAAATACCCTTTACGCTAAGATCAATTTCGGGAGTTCTACTCGCTCAAATTCAATTCCGTAAAGTCGTACGAATTTCTTAACGAGTTATCTAACTACTCATGTAATCAAAATCATAAAAGATCCACCGATTGTTACCGAATTTCCTTACACCTCAAAGACTCTGATTTCGTCCAAATCTGGACAAGGTTGGGAAAATCCAAATACTACGAAAAAGTTTTTCGGCCCCAAATTTTTCCCCCATTGGATTTTCTGTAACATTTACCAATATGTTACTCGGTTATAATTTCAAACTATAATCATACTCAACATATAATATATATATATATATATATATGTATATATATATATATATATAGAAATTCATTTAACTTGAGTTCAGATAACATTTACGCTCTTCAACTTTGAGTTTGTACAAGTAAACATTTAAACTTGTATAAAGTTGAATAAGTAGACATAACACACACATCCTATGTGACATAATACAAATATGACGCTACATAAGATGCTACCTCTGATGCGAATTGCCATGTAGGTCGTAAGATGCCAAGTAAGAAGCGTGTGTCTATTTATTCAACTTTATACAAGTTTAAGTGTCTACTTGTGCACACCCAAAGTTGAAGGGCAATATAGATGCCGAGACTAAGTTAAATAACATAATTATGTATTATGCCATTAAATTCTGCCTAGACAGATCTACATAAATTTCAATAGGCATAAGAGATAAATATTCCCTTTATCTTGGCTTCAACTCACATTTGTGTGCTCCAACTTTGACTGTGCATAAGTAGACACTTAAACTTGTATAAAGAGGAACAAATAAACACACATGTCCTACATGACAATTTGTATCCTACGTGGTGTCCTACGTATATTATGCCACTTAGGGATCATGTGTCTACTTGTTCATTTTATACAAGTTTAAATATTTACTTGCGCACACCTAAAATTAGAGAACATAAATATGAAATAAAGTCAAGATAATAAACACGTTTATGTATTATGCCATTCCAATACATTATAAGCTTTTTAAAACAATTTCATTTCATGTAATTTTTTGGTTTGGTCCACTATTTCGTGTATTCACCTAATTAAAGTTGACAAAAAAGCCATATGTCAACATAAAAAAAATAGCTTTTGTGTAGGATGAATTGAACATTACTCATAAGTATAAAGTTTTATGGTTATAAGCTATAACTACCACACTTAAAAAGAAAAAAAAGGTTATCAACATAATAATGCAAAAGTTAAATTTAATGAACACCACCACGAAGTTGCCATGTCTAAAGTCATTTTCAAAGATAACATCATTAAATTTATTTTACTAGTGAGGAAGCTCTTAAAACATATTATGAGGATGATTTCAATTAAGTGAAATATTATAAGAATGACGTTAAAGTTTCGCTGAAACAATAAGGATAATTTTGGTCAAAACCCTGTTATTTGTTGTCACTCTTTAGGTTCAGGTTTTTGTACTCGCCATTTACAAGACTACAATCATTGTCATCTTTGCATAATTTGCATAAATAGAAAAATAGTTAATTGCTTGATAGAGCAACATAAATACGGCAACACCACGTATGTAACACAAATCTTCAGTCCTATTTTTAATAAAATAATATTGAATATTTAATTTCGTCTCCCCTATCTCTCCACAAGGCATTTCTACCATTAGAACTTTGAAGTCAGTTACAATTCAAACTCCCTCTGATAATATATGATCACTTGGCGAGTTGGCGATATTCATGATTCGATCTGAATTAACTTTTTGATTAAAATCAAAATTAAATTAGGTTAATCAGTTTTTAAAATTTTAAAAACAAACCAAATAAAAACCATTGATTTGGTTCAATTTTTCGATTTATAACTAGCTAATGATGAATTGATAATAGTAAAATAACTAAGACATGACAAGTAACTATTTGAAATGAACTTTTATAAATCAACAAGTTTCTCTTTATTATTACAAGATAAATGTATCCGAATCTTCTATTATTTCTCTAACATATTATTTCAAAAAGTAGAACATGATGCTTTGATAAAAAATCATATTCTACTCAATGAAGAATGTTGTGAACTGCAACTAATTGTGTCGCATTAAAAGAAAAGCAAATGACTCTATAGATCGATACAACTATTCCATTTTTTTCATCTACATTACAGTTATAGTTTCTCTTTGGATTTGAAGAAAAGCAGTTCTCTAGGTAATCGCGTATTCAGGATATATACGTAACACTAACATAAATTTCTCAACGGCAGAAACAAAAGTCATTTCAAATTTGCAAAAATTCCAGCAGATTCAACAAAGATTACATGAGCTCTTGCTCATAAAGTTACATCATAAATCAAGTCTGCAATTTATTCAAACACTTGAAGAAACATAAGTTTCTAAACAGTAAGTTGTTTGGTAACCAGTAACAATTATTACAAATCAATGTTGACATTTATTCAAACACTTCACTTCTTGCTGAAAATAATCCCCCGAGCTGAGGCCATGCTCCGTCTTTCTGTTTACAAGCCTAAAATGAATAAAAAAAAAATTTCTTTTTGGTAACCAAGACAAGTATAATACTAACAAATATGGTGAAACAGGAAAATGTCAAGAACATACCGGATAAGAGTCAATGAGATGATCTTGTTTCCCAATCTGGAGGTTGTATTGTAACTCTGAACGCATAATTTGCCATATCTTCATGTTGTGTTGTTTGAAATTCCTGGGCTGAATTGGCAACAGACCAGCTGCACCAGTTTACTTCAATGCTTTCTAGAGATGCAACATCCTCAAAATGACAAGGGATTTTCTCAAGCTTCTTGCATTTCGTTAACACTAAACGTTCAAGCTTAGGGAAAGCATCATCCATGACAGACCACTCTGCAATGTTGAGGTTGTCCAATTTTAAGTATTTGAGTTCAGGGAAATCTGAATCTTTCACTTCCCATTCAGCCCCTTCAAAGGCTCTGAAAAGTAACTTTAGAATCTCCAAGTTGGGAAGTTTGCCAACTGTCAAAATTTGTGTCCAAGGTAGACGAAAATTCGACAAAGTCAATTCCCTCAGATTTAAGGGGAAATTGAATTCGTGAGGATGTTTAGTTGGATAACTGTTGGAAAAACGCTTCAGAGATTCAAGCTGATGTAGAAAGTCTAATCTAGGAAAACGAACAACGCTTCCTTTAGTTGAATAACCCAATAATCCCTCAACTATGCATCTCAGCTTTCTCAAATTTGGCATGCTTCTCAATATCTTCTCTGCATCTTCACCAGGGGAGAGACACGGAGTGGAAAAGGTCTCCAAATTAAACTAATTGTGACTCACACATGTTATCGTGCAGACTGAATGAAGCACGACTATTTACATGTACATGCCTCAATTTAAACATCTTGAAAAGTGAACATGGTAACTTCAACACTCTATGCAATCCGTTAACCACAAAAGTTTCAAGATTCCAAAGATCAGATACGGATGAAGGAATAGAATCAGCAGATGTTCGAACAGCGAAGTACCTCATATGAATTAGAGATTTTAATTCATTGGGAAAGGTATCACCTATGTTGATGGATTCCAAATTCAACACCTTAACAAGTTTGAATCTGTTAATGATGAAGGAGATATCACGTGCCATTGAAGGGTAATAATCATCACTGCTGGCATTGAATAGCAAAGAACGAACACTTGATCCAGTCTGCTGCAACTGAGCAAAGTAATCCCATTTAGAATATGTAGACAAGCGGTATACCTCGGGCTTTTCAGGATAAGAAATGGAATCCACACCATGGCCTCTGTTCAAAGAAAAAACATGAAAATGAGAATTGTGATGAAGGTTATCAAAGTAAAATCGATATAATTTTTTGTACCTATGTATCCAGAAGAGGAAATTATCTTGCTTGGCCTTTTCCACACAGAATTGATGCAACAAATCATGAACACGACAGGTTTTCAATTTTCCATTGGATCTCTTCTCCACGTCCGTTACCAATTTTTTTCTAATAAGATCTTTCAGGTAATCTTGGGCAGCATCTTCTGATCCTTTTTCCTTACTGTCTTCAACAATTCCTTCTGCTAACCACACTCGTGACAATTTCGAGACTGGAATATCCTTGCCCCTCAAAAATCCTCCAAAATAGAGAAAACATGGTTTTAGATGGTTTGGTAAATTCTTGTAACTGAATCCAATTATAGACATGCTCTCTTCTGAGCTCCCAATGCTGTGTGAACTAAGACTTTCTTCTACTTCTTTCCAGCAATCTGCTTTCTTCTTTTTCTCTTTGAGAACACCAGCTACTAAGACAATTGAGAGAGGCAGCCCTCCACACCTTTTCGCTATTCGTAATCCCACATCTCCGAGTTCACATGGGAAGCTTTGACCATGAAACAACTCTTCCTGTAGTAACTTCCAGCTCTCATCATCTGTGAGTAAACGCAGACGATGGGGCTCGCTGTTACATTTAGCATAACGGGCAACCTCATACAGCCTCGTTGTCAGAATAATTCTACTCTTATTCCGAGAACCTTGAAAGCACATGCGCAAATAGTCCCATGCTGTTTTATCCCACACATCATCAATGAGAATTAAGAATCTCTTGGTCAATAAAACACGACGCAGCTCAGTAGCTAACTCATCATCTCCTTTTTTGGTGCGATCAGCAGGCTCAAGAACATCATTCAAAATAGTAAGCAACAAATCTCTCCAAGAATATACTTGAGTCACATGACACATAGCACGAACATGAAAGTGAGAGACAACTGTGGGATCATTGTAAATCTTCTTTGCAAGAGTGGTTTTACCATTTCCAGGCATACCAAATATCGAGATAACATCCAGCTGATGCAATCCTCCAAGAAGTTGCTTCTTTAATTTGTCCATCACATCTTGAAACCCCACCATTTCTTCATTTGCTCCTGAAGCTCTATCGTCTGTTGCCCAAGAAGATCAATGAGAAAGACTATAAGGAAAATTAGCTCTTCATTAGCATTTTCCACCAGATTCAGTAATTCAGTTTCAAGAATGGCTTTGTGCTTTAGTTGATCCGTCAACTTCCCCTTGCACTTGATTAGCATGAAAGCCACAGTTAAAAGTTGAAGCAAAAGATTGACCTTCTTACCCTTGTTGCTTTGCGAAGAATCTTCATATGATAAACAGATAGCAGCTTCGGCCTCAATCGCTAAAGCTCCAATTTCCGACAAGAGATTATTTTGCTTCTTGCATTCAATGTACTGAGTTGGGGGATCAAAAAGGAGTGTTAACAAGAGCAGCAAACTAAGGTAAAACCTTTTGAGCTTATCTGAATCAGTAAGTTTCAGATCAGCTTCATCCTTTAGTAACAGATTTTCAAAAATTAATTCATGAAACCTTAGAAAAACCTCATCCATCTTTGGGCTACCAGAAGAGGATTTCAACTTTGTGAAATAAGAATCAATGACCTCAAAGTAAGTAGGAAGAAAGTTCAGCGGATATATCACATGATGATCTGGTGTTGATGATGCAGAAAAGGATGGACAAATCTGCCGAATCGCTGCCTTAATAAACTTAAACTTAAGAAGCAATTGAAAGTGCAAGATATTAATTTTGCTCATCAATTCTCTTTCCTCTGAATCACGAGAAAGAGAAGTAATGAATGAGTGTGCTTCAGTGGCCACAGATAGAACTAAGGGCAATACATGTGATGCATCTACCTCAACAAACTCGGTCTCCTGTAGGAAATCAGATATTTCCCCTGTGCTGCTTCCATCCACAAAACTTTCATCTGATTTGTCAAGCTTTGTCGTGTGTTGCCTGAGAAGATCCATGAGAAAGCCTCTAAGGAAAATAATCTCTTCATGAGCATTTGCCACAAGATCCAAAAATTCAGTTTCAAGAACAGCTTTGTGCTTTAGTTGATCCATCAACTTCCCCTCACACTTGATTAGCATGAAAGAAGCAGTCAAAATTTGAAGCAAAAGACCGACTTTCCTACTTTTGCTTCTGTCCAAAGCATCCTCATACGATAAGCGGATAGCAGCTTTGGCCTCAATCGCTAAAGTTCCAATTTTTCTCAAGAGACCATTTTGCTTCTTGCATTCAATGTACTGCATTGGGGGATCAACAACAAGTGTTACCAAGGGCATCAACCTGTGGTAAAACCTTTTAACTTTATCTGTATCAGTAAGTTCCAGATCTGCTTCAACCTTTAGTAGCAGATTTTCAAAAACATATTCATGGAACTCCATGAAAACCTCATCCATCGTTGGGCTACCAGCGGAGGGCGATGTCTTTGAGGATTTCAGCATGGTGAAAGAAGAACTGATGGCCTCAACATAAGTAGGAAGAAAGTTCAACGGATATATCACAGGCAGAACTGGTGTTGATGATGCAGAAATGAAGGGACAAATCGCTTCCCTAATAAACTTAAATTTAAGATGTAATTGAAAATGCAAGAGATTAATTTTCCTGGCTAATTCTCCATCCTCCGAATCACGAGAAAGAGAATTAGTGAATGACTCTGCTTCGGTGGTGACAGATAGAACTAAGGTCAAGACATCAGTTAGCTGAGTCTGCACTTTGCACTTGTCCAATGAATCCATGAGGAACGTTTTCATGGAAGTCAATTCTTCCTGAAAGCAGTCCATCTGGGACTCTGGTAACCTTAGTTTCTGAAACAGACTGATCTCTACCTTCAAATACTTAAACTTCATTTGCAAAGGAAGAAACATAAGGTCTACTTCAGCAATATTGTTCTCTAAGTCCATGTCACACAAGGAGTAGATTGCAATTGCTGCCTCTATGGCCAGAACTTCCAGAAATGAGAGCAATGAACTCAAGTCTTGTTGCTGGCGATCTAATATCTTGTGAAATTCAGAGAGATGAAGAAGTCCATCTTGGAGCCATTCAAATCTATCGGAAAAAGCAACATTCAAACTGGCATCATGACTTTTCAGCTTTTCCAGATCGTATCTGATAGACTCAGTAAACTTCTGAGCAAGATCAAGATCATGTGGTAGATTCTTAAGACCACCATGCATCAGTGGAACTGACGAATGTGATGCTTTCAGGAAACTGATATAAAGCTTCCTCCATTCAGGCCTAATAGGATTTATCCTTTCCAGCAATTTTGAAATCTTGGACTTGAAGTCAGGAACAAGGATCACTTTATATGTTACCCAAATAGAAGACTCGGGCGCTGATATACGTGCCGAGTACTGGTCATACGTCTCCCAACACAAGATATATAGGTAAGTTGCAGTTTTAGCTATATCCTCAGCAAGGGTGAAGAGATCCTTTATTTTCTCATGTTCAATATTGCACCGCTTTGCGGTAAACTTGAGGAGAACTTCCAGATGTTTAAACTCCCGAAATGTAATGTTTGCCAGATAAATAACAGTACTGCACATCCTTGTGACGAGGTTCACCATATTCATAGTGATCATACGGGTAGATGATGATGTTGATTGCTTGGAAGGACTGATAAATCGCTCAGCAATAATCTCAGGTTTGATCATTTTCATCACCTCTGAAATCATTTTGACTGTCTCACTTGTCAGGCCTTGATTCTTCAAAAGAGAAAGTATCTCACGAAAGCCATCATTGGCTTCATTGATTAAGGGCATAAGCTGCTCACATACCCAATTCTGAGAGTTTACCTCCACCAGCTTAAAGAAATAATTCCATAAATTATTTGTAATCTCCCTAGCATAGTCCAATTGATCCTTGGCTGAACTATCTAACTGCCCCGTCTTTACACAATCGGCGATGCTTTTTTTTAATATAACGCAAGAATCTTCGGCCATCTACTTGTTGATAAGATCCTGCAACTAACAAAGAATGACCAAGTCAAATCCCATACATTACAGAATGTTTTTTTTCTTCAATGCCAAGTCAAATCTTTGTAGATACGAGCTCCTCTCAATATTTCAAACTCTTTTGATTATATATTTCACTCAAATCAATCAATTATGTTTGCGGCAGGTCAAATTTTAAAATCAGTGCAGACAAAGGGATCTGCTCTTTGAGATCAAAAGATCAACTATCCAAAGACGAATTCTGACTAGCAAAAAGGATGTGGATGGAGTTTTTTTTTCTTAACTACAAGTTTTGGATTCGAGTTATCCTGAACCACAAGTCATGGATCTATATAGCGTGAATCCAGAATATTCGGACTTAATGTTGCATATTTTTATGAAATAAAAGATGAGATTCGGAATAATTTTGTCGGAACTGGGTACAATCTTAAAGCTTTTCAATTAATAAACACATGAAGAATTAATTGTGAAAAGAAAAAAGAAGATACACTTACTTGGATTTATCTGATTAAGCATGGAAGGTTCAATACTGCTGAAACTTCAAGAGATTCAAGTCTTTAGAAACCATTTAATTTGGAGGAACATATAATATAATATATTAAATTATCTTATCATAATATAGAGCAGTTGAATTGGCTTTGGCTCTTTTAAGTCTTTTCTTATTCTTTTATTTATATAATTTTATACATACTTCTCCTAATCCTAAATAATAAATTAATTGAGACTTTTTGTCACTTATAGAAAAGCCAGCTAAAGAGTTACTTGTATTGTTTTTTTTTATTAGTATGAACGCAATTATTTGTTTATGAAAAAATTACGTTTGAGTTTCTAGATCTGAAAAAAGAGGACAAGTGGAGATAATAATAAGGCGGAGGTTTGAATTGAAGTTGAATGTGTTTGATCATAGTTTTTCAAAACATATTTCACTTTTTCTTTTAATTTTTTAAAAAATGCATAATATATAAATATGTCTTTTATCTTGATTTCAACGGACATCTATGTCCTCCACCCCATACAACAAGGACGGTCTAACCATTACTCTATAGAACTTACCTTTAAGTTTAGATGGTACCTTCTTATCATACAATACTCTAGAGGCAAACCTCCATATCATGCATGCCTCCCCAATGTGATGTGTGATATCATCATTGATGTCCTCACTTCCCTGGATTACAAACCCAAGATATTTAAAAACTCTCTCTCTTAAGAATAGTTTGTGTGTCAAGCCTCACTTACACGTCTGCTTCATCCAATGCAACATTGAATTTGATCTCCAAATATTTCATTTTGGTCCTGCTCAACCTGAACCCTTTGGACTCCAGAGACCTAGCATTAACTTTGTTCGTCTCATCAATCAGTACTTTGTCGTACGCAAATAACATATACCATGAGACCTTATCTTGAATAGACCGCGTCAACTCATCCATCACCAAGGCACATTGTAACGACCTGTTTTAGTCGTTATAGAAAAGCCAACGGGGAAAAATTTTAGGCCGAATTTTTTTTTCGTAGTAACTTGAGATTTCCCAACCTAGTTCGGATTTGGACGAAATCGGAGTATATGAGGTCTAGGGAAATCTGGTAGCAATTGGCTGATCTAATTATGAATTCGATCACATGAGTAAATAGGTAAGTCGTTAAGGAACCCGTACGACTTTATGAAATTGAATTCAGGTGAGTAGAACTCCCAAAACTGATTTTGGCGTGAACGAATAATTTCCGAGAGTCGTTGGTTAAAAGTGTGTTGTGAAATGGGATCTTGGAATAATCAAAATATCTCACTGTTTCGTGCAAGCCGCTTTGGTGGGGATTTCTGTCGCAAGGGCGGGGCCGCTGTAGCGGGGTGATGACCAGTGTGGTGGGTCCGACGCGACTTAAGTCGGAAATAAACCCTAAAACGTCTTTATTCTGGACTTTTCGATTTTGAAAGTAAGGAGATGAACCCCAGGTGATTCTTGACAGTTTTCCACCATCTTTAAGGCTAAAGGTAAGGTTTTAACTCCCCGAATTCGTTTTTCGATCCGTAGAACGTAATTTAATGGGTAAATATCGATGGGGGAGAGTTTTGATCTAAGAATTATGGTGGGAAAAGCCCTAATTTGGGTAGTAGGATCATGGGTATGATCTGGGGTTGTTAGAATTGTTAGTAATCCGGGTAATTAGTGATTGTTTATTGATTCTCGTATTATATTGATTATTTGTATACCAAGAACAAGCGGAACGAATCTAGAAAGGGAAGAATCAAGTTTCTTAGGGTTTCAAGCTTGTTTCGAGGTAGGTGATGGTTGTGATTCTATGATCGTGTGATGTATGTTTTTTCTTGCTTCATTATGATACATGTATGTATGCGAATGTTGCATTGTTGATCACATTAATTGTAAATGAGGATATATGAATGATGAATGCCATGAATCATGACTTGATTGTATGATTATGGGAATGTACTTTGTGATTGTGATTGTGGCTTGTTGAATGGATCGAGTGTTGCATTCCGACACACTAATTTGGATCGGTTGCCACGTTCCGACATAATTATGGGATCGGTTGCCACGCTCCGACATAACCATTGGATCGGGTACCACGTTCAGGTATACTAACAATTTGGGTTTGGGTTCCATGAGAGGACCAATGATTTGACATAATTGTGTATCTTGAGAAATGTGAAACTGTATATTGTTCGTAAATGTTGATAATATTGTATATGTTCAATATATACATGTGATTATATTATTGTATTGACTTATGTATATTACACTTAGTGGGATAGCCGTGTGATCCTACTAGTACATTGTGGTTGTGTACTGATACTACACTTGCTCTTTCTTTGTTGAGTACAGGGCATCTTCAGGCGGCTATTGACATACCTCGTTTAGAAGATTAGTGATCGCCGATCGAATTCAAGGGTGAGCCAGTTCTTTCAGGCTGCCATGAGTTCTCTTTTCATCTATGTCCACATTTCGGACTTAAGACTTTTCTAGTTAGTTATTAGTTCATTAGTTTGGGGTCGTAACCCTTCTTGTTAGAATTATGGATCTTGTTTGATGTTTTGGTACATTGACTTTCAGGTTCTAAACGTACTTTCTGCATTTGTTTTAGTTGTTAGACTTTTATTTGGAGTTTATGGGAACTCCATATCTTTTCCTTAGCTATCTAACTTGCTTCCGTAACTTAAATGCCTTAGTATTTTAGTTGAGTTGTTAGTTTGGGTTGTAGTAATGGTTCTCCCACTGGAGGGTTAGTGTGGGTGTCAATCACGATGGTCTGGGTCGTGACAAAGTTGGTATTAGAGCCTAGGTTCGTTGATCTTGATGTACCAAGATGAGTCTAGTAGAGTCATATGGAACGGTACGGAGACGTCTGTACTTATCTTCAAGAGGCTATAGGACTTTAGGAAATCTCTCTACTTTCTTTTGTCTCCTTTCGTGCTATAACTTGATTCCAATTGGTATCTGGCGATTCAAATTGGTATCTAACCTTATTTACTCTTCTGTCCGTATATGATTAACACTAGATTTAATGGCGTCAGTCCCGTAGCTCCCGTCAAGCTCTAGCTAAGGAATCTGCAACGAGATATCGCGGTTGAGGCAGGGGTAGAGGAAGAGCTAGGGGTAGAGGCCGAGAAAGAGTGGTGCCTATTAGAGATGGGGTACCGGTCGAAAATGCTCCCCAAAATGAGGCCCTTCCTATGCATCATGAAGAGATAGAAGAGAATGTTGAGGTTGAAAATGTTGAAGAGGTTGGACAAGAGGAAGATGTGCAGGTTGAAACTACATGTATTCCTCCATTGGACCCAGTGTTAGCTCAGCAGATCATGTCATTCTTGAAAGAGTTGGTTGGTCCTGGAGTGCTTCCATCTACTCAAGCTCCTACTAATTCCCCTGTTCCTAGCACTGTGCCCAAGCTAGGTGGGACTGGATGTAATGATGCTTTCTTCCGTCCTTTGTTGGGTTCTGTTATGACTGGTAATGAGCATGAAATGTTGACTAAGTTTTTGAAACTAAAGCCTCATGTATTTCTTGGTTATGAGAGTGAGGATTCTTATGAGTTTATCTTAAACTGCTATGAGAGGATTTATAAGTTGGGAATTGTCCATCAATATGGGCTTGAGTTCGTGACTTTTCAACTTGAAGGTGAGGCTAAGCAGTGGTGGAGAGCTTATGTGGAGTGCAGATCTTCAAACTTACCCCCACTCTCTTGGACCCAATTTCATGCTCTGTTTTTAGAGAAATATGTGCCTAGGACTTTGAGAGATCGCAAGAAGTATGAGTTCATGGCTTTGGAGCAAGGTGGTATGTTTATGGCTGCTTATGAGGCCAAGTTCCATGTTTTGTCTAGATATGCTACTCAATTGGTGACTACTGAGGTTGAGAGGATCCGTTTAATTATTAGGGGATTAAACTCTGTGTTGCAGGTATTGTATGTTCATATCACTTTTGCAGGGAGGAGCTTTAATTAGGTAACGGACTTTGTTAAGAAAGTGGAGGGGGTGAGGCGAGACGGTCAGGCTAAGGCATTGGCTAAAAGGGCTAAGAACTCGGGTAACTATCAAGGTTCTTACTCCAAGGGGTCCGGAAGGCCAACGTTTGCAGCCAAGCCAATTCAGTCCGTTATGTCCGCCTTTACAGGTAATTACTTGGGAACTTCACCTCATAATTTGATTCAAGATAGCCAGGGAGTCGCACCTTCAGCGGGCAACATGCCATCTTTTGATCGTATATGTTACAACTATGGAGAGCCTGGGCATATGAGGAGAGATTGTCCCCATCCGTACATGATGGATTCCGCGTAGCAGCATACTAGAGCATTAGTACCCGCGGAAAATGGTAATAATGGTCGAGGGCGTCCGTAAGGTGGGCGAGGAGGTAATCAGCGAGGTCGTGAGGGTAGAGAAAATGGTAACGCAGGCAGAGATGTAACGCAACCAGGCAGGGAAGTAGCTCGTCAAGATGATATGGCTCAATGTTATGCCTTTCCGAGCAAGAGTGAGG